GCGAATGCGGAGAAAACGATTACGAGGGAAGTCGATTTCGATTGTGGAGAAGACGATCACGAGGAAAGAAACAATGTCGATTTCGAATGAACAGTTGAGAAAGTTTGCGGTTTTTCTTTTGCGTTCTTTTTTTCCTTTGAAAGGAGAACTTAAACGTTTTTACTTTTTAAACTTGACTCTTTTCTGATCACGGTTATTTCTTAATGATGTGGATTTATTTTTGATTTTTTAATTAAAAATAATCTCAATTAAGAAAAATTAATCAAGGGTGTTTATCGTAATTAACCAGGGGTGTGAAAATATTTGAGTCATTTTTGAAAGATATATGATATTCTAGTCATATTCGCATAGTTTCATGGGATTTGAGTCATTTTTTTTTTAATTATAAAAGATATGATCTATTTTTTAATTTTAATTCTTTTTAGGACTATTTTTTATAATTTTTCCATAAACTCAACGTAATGACGGACAAATTAGCGCATAAGGGCCAATTTCAATACGTTTTTGGTTGTATTTTTAATTCCCATCCCCTCTTTATTCAACAATACCTCGATTGAGATTGTAATCCTTTCATCGTTGATAAAAGAAGAAGTTCAAAAACGACGTTTGCGTAAAACGACGGCGTATCATTCCAAATATAAGCCTAGGCGTAGAATGAGGGAAAGAAGGAGAGGTTTTCCAGTTTCATTCAATTTTGAGATTCCTGAAAGAATGGGAACAGTCGAAATCGAAGAAGAAGAAGCTGTAGCTATCGCAGCTCTGGGCTCTCTCTTCAAGCTTACCGAAGTTCATCTATGGTAATTTCGAGATTTGAGGTCTTTCTCCTTCAATTTTCGCTTCTTGTTTTTCTCTTCTGATGACGAAAAAAGTAATGCTTTTTGTCTGTTTCAATACTCAGGGTCGATGGGTCAAAAGAGACTCCTTTGGTTCCTCTCTTACATGAACAAAGCGGTGTAAGTGCTCTTTGTTGAGCTGAACTGTCCTAAGGTTTCTGAGATTTTGTTTTGTGACTCTACTAATCTCTGATACTTGGATTCTTGTTTTGTTCTTGTTGGAATTACAGATATTATCAAAAGAGAGTGTTGATGATGATACTTCTACTGATCTCTCTGGATTCATGAGTAAGTCTTACTTTTTAGGTTATGTATCTTCAAAATTTATTTGTTTTGTTTCTGGTAAAGAAGGTCTTTATAGTTCTTGGAGTTAGTTAGTCTCTGCATGATTTGAAGGATTGGTGATTGAGTTTTCATTTGTTAAAAGACATCAGGCCTGAGGAGGACATGGGAATGATAAAAGAGATGAAGTCTTTGGGTCTTCCGGTTTCCTTTCAAACGAATAAGGAGGTACCTTTTTCTCCATTTATCAAAATTCATGGTCTTACTTTGTTATTTTTACATGCTGAGAATTTAATAATTCATGCAGTGGAAGAACAGAAAAAGAGGCCAGCAAAGGAAAGGAATCAAGGATCGATCAGACGAAGTTAATGTTCTGTTCAATGAAGAAGACAATACTGTAGTATCCACTTTGAATTTGGTGTCTGATTTGAAGAGTATAGATCATGCTATTGGTTATGAGGACGCTGACAGACTATGTCCGGAAAACGACTGTGTTCAAAGAAGTGCTGTCGAAGAAGAAAATCATGAAATTTTAGGAAGCTATTGCTCGGGAGATAGAGACAGAGATTCGGTGTTGACTTCAGAGACAATAGATAACCATGACTCTAATGAATGGAAAGTCTACTGGGATTCTTTCTATGGTCGAAGTTATTTTTACAACATTAAGACACAAGAGTCCACATGGGAGCCGCCACTTGGGATGGAACATCTAGCTTATTGCTACGAAACTCACAACTTGGATGAATTGGCTTTAGAGGTGATTGAAATTCCGCCTCTTATCTTTCTCGTAAAATTTCAGGAGTGTTTGTTTATTTACCGTGTGATTGATTTGACCTTGGTTCTTTTCTTTTCGTTATTAAGACTACAGAGAAGCCACATGAGGATTTGTCCGGAACTGGACCTGCTGATGATGTTCCTACTGAAAAATCTGATAATCTTGGCGGAGTTTGTCAAAGTCAATGTGAAACAGAAGCCCTAACGGAAGTTAACAGGTATTACAATTCAACATAATGTGGTCTTTCTTTCTTCTGGTTTTTATCGTTGCATTATGTTTCTGAACTGAACTTAGTTAAATCATGGTTTTGACGAGGAATAAACAACTATATTTTCTGCAATATCCTTTAGTATTTGCCGTTAATCACTACAACGTTAATCTAATTAGTATGTCTCAGTCTTACTGAGTGTACTAAGCATTGATATGCAAACTTGTGTGGCAATACTGAGGCATGGCTACAAGCAAAGTTGCTTTGGTTCAACCTTAAACGTTAAGCTTTTTAAGAAGTGTTTGTAATTCTCTTGTTTAAAGCTATTGATATATAGCCCAACACAATCTCATGCATTTAGATATCTTTCAGTATTGAATACCATATCTATGAAACTACTGGTGTGCTTAAAAAAATATGTCCTTGATTTTCTGTCTGTTGTTGGGTCTCTTCAATAACATCCTTCTGACATTTTCCTTATTTACAGTTTGGTTGATACATACCATGAAGCTTCCATTGGAAATCAGTCTTTGGATATTACTACTCTTGAAGAAGAGGGAAACGGTACATATGTTGTCAATTCCATTGGGAAGGCTAAAAAGAAGACTAGAAGAACTCGAGCGAAAAAGATATTCTTCACTTCAGACATAGGTTTGCACACCTACTGCATACATATAGCTTATTTTCATAGCTGCAGCTGGTTCGTTGTTAAAATATTTTAGATTCTTCTCTGAGCAGGGACTCGAACGGAAGGTGTTATTGAAGAATATTCTGCAATCCTTGGCAAGTATTGGTGCCAAAGATACCTCCTTTTCTCCAGATTTGATGAAGGCATCAAAATGGATGAGGAAGGATGGTTTTCTGTCACTCCTGAACCTATAGCTAAGCATCATGCCACGCGATGTAATGGAGGCATTGTTATTGACTGTTTTACAGGAGTTGGTGGAAATGCTATTCAGTTTGCATCAAGGTGACTATAAATAAACTTTTTAGTATATGCGTTTTTTTGTGAGTCAATCACTGCTAGATATTTAAGCGATCACATGATTAATATTTTAACAAAGGCTTTTGCACTGATTAGTTGAAGTAGGGCTTTGCACATTTTGAGCAATTCGAGTGTGTTCATTCTCTTGTGTGTTGTGGCATTTTAGGAGTCACTATGTGATCGCAATTGATGTGGATCCAAAGAAACTTGATTTAGCAAAGCATAATGCTGCCATATATGGTGTTGCTGATAAAATCGACTTTGTGAAGGGAGACTTCTTTGACTTGGCACATAACTTGAAGGTTTTTTACTTCAACTCTTCTCAAATTTTTTTTTCTCCTGACGTAGCCATTAAAACTTTTTTTTTCTCTCCATTGTGCAGGCAGGCACTGTATTCTTATCGCCTCCCTGGGGAGGCCCTGATTATCTTAAAGCGAGTATGTATGACATGAAGACAATGTTGAGACCTCGTGACGGGTATATCTCTCGTGTTTCTTTATTTATACTATGGTTAAGAGTTTTGGAGCTCTTAATCTCTTTCTACGCTAAGAGATATGTACTCACTATTCCCGTTTGGTGCAGAGATGCTCTATTTAAGGCGGCCATGAACATCGCATCAACAATCATTATGTTTCTTCCAAGAAATGTTGATATTAACCAATTGGCAGAGCTAGCCTTATCAACGACTCCTCCATGGTCACTTGAGGCAAGTGGTTTTTTCTTATTGCTTTCTTAGTTTTTCGATTATGTCTATGAGCGTATTGTTCAGGATTAAGAAAGACATTCCAAGGAATTGGATATCTGTCATGTTACATTATTGACGAATGCATGTAACTTTGATATTTATATTGGAAACAAATCTTACCAATGTATTTCTTCTTTTTTATAACATTTGTCTAACAGGCAATCCCCAATGTTTTCAGGTAGAAAAGAACTACTTAAATGGGAAGCTGAAGGCTATAACAGCGTACTACGTTCAAACAACATGATTGTTCGAACTTAGAGATTCTTCCCACATATTCAATGCAAGAAGGCCCACAAATGGGCAAAGGTAACATCGGCTTACTCCTTTACAAGCTAAGTGTCAATCTGCAATCTACATTTTGTTGATCCAAGTGGATGAAGATTGATTTGTGATCTCATAAGGTCATGTGTTTGTATATACAAAATGTGTTTTGTTAACTCTGGGATAATCCCTCTCAGATGTAGAACTCAGAAACCCACTTAATAGAGAAAATTTCACCTTTGTGTTTATCGATTTCTAAACTCGCTATTACTGGTTGTTTCAAACTGTGAATTGGAAATGAAACTTGTGCAAGAAACACGAAATGCCACTTATGGAGCTAATCTCGTTGGGGTTTTTTTGATTTTGGAAATTGATGAACACACAATACCAAGTGAAACAAACATGTGTTGCTGCTATTCACACACTCTGTGTATTGACAATCATTTTGTCGGGATCATGTGAAACAAATTTGTACTGACGAATCTTATCCTCTATGTTGCCAAGTAAACAGAACACGACGAGAAGTAATATATGAATATACAGCCAAAAAAGTACATTGTTTTTGCCATTTGTTAACTTGGCCAAATTAGAGCCTTGAGTTATGTTTTTAGCCTTATTCGAAGAGCAAGCTCATCACTCAATTCCATGATTGCTTCTTGAAACAGACTTGTGGTTAAAGAAGTTATACTGATAAATTTAGTATCTCGACGGACGGTTCTACATGTAACACTCTGAAAATGTTAGATATTGCATTCATACATCCTTTATTGTAAATCCATTACTACTCTGAAAGGTTAAAGAAGTTATACTGATATATTCAGAAATAACTCAACACGTTGTGTAAAATGCAAAAGTAACTCACCCACAACAATTTTTTGGAGCTTTGAATGCTCTCTTTCAACCAAAAATCTTTAAATTTTCCTCAACTATTTTATTATATTCACCAACGTTTTCTCAAGTTTTGTTGTTTTACAATTTACACTTGCATAAGTCTCTTTCAACCACAAGTTTTTCGTTTTTATATGGATTGTTACGAACATAAAACAAATTAACATTATAATCTGCTTTTGTATTTATATTTTTTTACTTGAAAGTACATCATTATGATCATATAAATCAGCCAATCGATAGAATCTAAAAAAAACAACCAATCAATACTATAATAAATTCATGAAAATCGTATCTACCACGCCCCAAAAGGCCAAAAGACAGCTT